ACTGAAGACTGATGGGAAACAAACCTGTTGATGTTAGCTTGGTAGCTGTTAGCTTAAAAGGACCTAATTTAGCAAGAGTTAATTGGTCCGTTTTCAAAGTTAGTGAAAAAGCTAAACAAAAATTTTGTTCCATTAGATGTTTGCTGATTAGCAGCACCATGCCCACCACTGAAAATTTAGTTTAGCATTAGCACACTTTGGACAAATGATTTGAGTAGAGGACCACAGTAATTTCACAATATTTTTTAACCTTTCTAAAAGTGTCTTACATTCAGGCCTTTTCTATATGCTTTGTTCACTTTGGGCCTCTCACGAAAATAAATATTTAAGGGCCCCCATCCTCTTTTGTAAACTGAAGCGTTGAGGGGCATTTTGGAACAGCTTTACAGAACAAATCTATCAGAGCTGGTGGTATGTGTTGCAAGAGAACCCCCAAGCTGGGCAAAAAGAGGGCAGATTCAAACTTTTAAAAATAAAACTAAGAAAAATTGGTAAATCGCACAAAAAGGTAGGAGTGATGTGAATGACATCAGGTGTGGTGATTACTAATGGAAAACAGGTGGCATGCGAGAAGCTGGAGAAGGCAAACATTTAATGATGGTAAAAAGTAAAAACCTAATTAAATAACCGAAACTCATAATAACCCAAAAGATTTTGAACCTATTTTTAAAAGACTCACAGTGTTTCGTAGAAATGACTCACGTGACTTTTTATGCAAATCTATAAAAACAGGCACACAAATACAGACAGAACAATTCAGAAAGTAGTTTTTATTTTAGTTGTATTTTCGACTCGTCTGGGAAGACGATTTTGTCCGTCTGCAGCTGGAAGCCTGTGAATTAAAAGCAACACAAACACCTCGTTTATGCACTTCTCAAAGGGAGTAACACCATTACAATGTGTTGCGAGTCGGGTGCATGGACGCATGCATCCTAAAGAATCTCCCCCACCCACGTCAACACTYGACTTCTACTTTGACAACCTGCTCAAACACCCCCAGACATGGGCGAGAGTGTGCGTGCCATGTGAGAAGCTGCCGTATGCCGCCTGATGYGACCGAGCTGACAGATGAGCGTAGAGACGAGAAACTAAATTGGCTCTGGCCTCTGTCTCAGGAGTGGCCAGCTCCTGGGTTCGGCAGGCTATTCTTATAGAGGGYAGGGAGAGGTCTTCGGCTCCCCTGGTATAAAAACCTCTTTATGGTATCCCACATCATGTTTTGACTGTCTCCTGGGATTGCGGAGGAGGTGTTACCCAATGACAAGTGYGAAAGAAGGGAAAAGGTAAAAAGACAACACGTGCAGGAGGATTTTGAAACAGACAAACAGCAGGGTCTAAATTTTTTTAACCATTATGTTTGTCTTTACCTCAATAATTTTAATTTGGGGGTCAGCCCTATATTCCCAGGTATTTGCATGGTACACCCATCCCTATATTACCTGGTATCTATGTTCTCTGGTATACAAATCCCAAATTCCTTTTGCTTCCCCTTCCCATTTCTTTTTTGGAGCTTCAAAGTATCATTCATATTCTTATATTTATAGATATTGTACTATTGAAATGGGTTGAAATGTTTGTGAAACCCTGGGTTCGTACGAGCCTGAAGGAGCGAACAACTTTAATCCAGGGAATAAGATTGTGT